TTATTCTCGGCCTGTGGCCAGGCCCAGCAGTGTGTGCCCCTCCTGAGGCCGTGTGTGCGGCGACGTCGTGCTTCCGTCTGTCCCCGAGGGCCTGACCGGTGCGGACGGGTCCTCCGAGTGGTTAGCGGGTGGGGTCCTATGGAAAGGGCCTGGAGCGTAGGGGTGTGTGCCTGACCTTCCAGCACTGGGGAGGCTGAGGCGGGAGGATCGCTGGGAACTCGAGGTCACCCTGAGCTACACGGCAAGACCCTCTTAGAAAACAAGGGCCGGGGATTTAGCTCAGTGCCGCCGCGCCTGCCTCGAAAGCTCAAGGTCGGGAGTTCTATCTCCGATACAAAACAAAACAAAACAAAACAAACACATTAAAAACGATAAATATATATATAGGCCCTCAGCACTCCCATCAGCGACGCCTGCACTCCCAAGCATTGACCCAGTCAGGAAGCTGGGCTTTTTAGGCACTTAGCAAAGGACAGCCGGGAGATGAGTCTAACAACAGGCCATTGTATAAGCTTTTCCCAAGCCGACAGTGCACAAGTTCCCAGCTGGCCCAGGAGCAGGAGCCACACCCCAAGGCACAGGAAGTGTCTCCCCCCCCTCCCAGGGCCTTGGGTAGGCAGGGTCCAGACCCTTTTCTGAGCATTTGGCTGCAGCTCCTGACCCACACAACAGGGGGAGCTGATGAGGCTGAGCAGGCAAATCTGCGAGCTCCCCCCAGGTAGCAAGAAGTGGCTGCAAAGGCCGGTGCAGCAGCACACCTGTGATCCTAGCACTAGGAGGCTGAGGCAGGAGGATCTCAAGTGGAGCCCAGTCTGGCAATATAACAATTTAGTGAGACCCTGTCTCAAAATGAAAAATGAAGAAGGGCAGGGAAGGTAGCTCAGTGCAAAGGCCCTGGGTTCAATCTCCAATGGGGGGCGCAGTGCATGCTAAATGGTGTTCAGTGTCTTCTTTTAAAGAAGGCTTGGAGGGCCGGGGATTTAGCGCAGTGGTTCTGCTGCCTGTCTCGAAAGTGCAAGGACCTGAGTTCGATCCCTGGTACCCCCCCAAAAAAAATGGCTTGGAAGTGGGCGATGTGGTTAAAATTGGAAGGCGATGGAAATGGATTGTAGGGTTTAAAAGGGTGGTGCCTTTTCGTCATCCAGAAGATGCTTGTGTGGAGCTGTCCCCTCTGACGACGAGACACATGCACCTTGGAGCGGGGTGGCCCTGGTAATTTGCTCCTTGCTGTAGCAATCAAGGACTGTGCTGGGGGGGCATCCAGACACCGGACAGGAGGCGCCCGGGACAGGAGGCCGGGCTGAGACGACTTCACTTAGCTGACCCCAGGCTCGCCCTTGCTGCTTCTACTTGGGAGTGTGTTTGGAGACGCGCCCCACCCGGTCCCCCCAAACCTGTGACACTGGCCCCCACCCAGAACACCAGGGTGACACAGTGAGGGGCAGAGACCGGCTCTTCCTGGTCTGTGTGCCCGGCAGTGCCTGAAGGGCTCTCATTTAGTGTTTTTAAAAATGTACTTTTTACAGTACTAGGGATCGGATGAATCCAAGACCTGCTCCCTGAGCTACATCCCCAATCCCTTTTTAAATTTTGAGACTGGGTCTCTAAGTCACTAAATTTCCCAGGCCAGCCTCACATTTGTGACCTTCCTGCCTCAGCCTCCCAGAGTGCTGGGACAGCAGGCATGTGCCACAACACCCTGCATGGTTTTCATGTGCAAACCTAGTTTATGTGTGTGATAGGCCAGTTCCGTGGGTGCATCTACCCCCCAGGTCTGCTTCACTCGTGAGGAAACGCAGGCTCTGCAGCGCCAGGGCCCGGGGAGGCACCACCACCTGGCTGGGGTGCCCTTGAGCAGTCAGCTCCTTCTGGGCCACCACAGTCCCAGGACATCCCAGACATGGGGCCCCTGAGGCCCACCATGGCCTGTTGCCCTGGGGGAGGGGAGGGGACACGGGCAGGAGCCGGGCAGGAGCCGGGCAGGAGGAGGTGGCCCTGCCTCCCAGAGGGGCCGCAGCTCTCCAGAGTGGTCTATATTTAGCAGGTGACCAGGCAGGACGCAGATAAGCAGTCCTGGGGGGGGCAGCCACCATAAATAGAGGGAGCACAGGACCCCTGTCCCTCTCAGCGGCCTGTACTGCACCTGCTGTGACTTCGCCCAAGATGCCTGAGGCAGTGAAGAAGTCAGGTAGCTCTGGGCCCAAGCTGGGCCTCAGCTCGGAGGAGGGTTGGGCAGTTGGGGGGCAGCAATGGGGGAGCCCCAGAGGTCCAGCATCTCAGGGTGCTGGCAGGTGGTCCTGTGAGACGATCTATCTTCCAGCCTGTTTCTCTCCCTATCCCTCTGGTGAGCTGAGGGTTGCCTGTGGCCCGGTGGCCAGAGGAGGGTCTGGGAAGCGCTCAGGGCCACCACCCCTCGCTTTGAACATGGGGGGCCCACCCTGCCCCCACCTGTCTCTTCAGATAGGAAGGAGCCCAGCAAACACCAGGCTTGAGCCAGCCTTGTCCTGGGCCCTTGGGTGCTCCCACCCTGTCCAGGGCCTGCTTTTCCCCATTTTTCCCTGTTTTTTTGAGCCAGTCTTGCTGTGTACCCCAGGCTGGCCTCAGATCCTTGGCGATCACCCTGCCTCAGCCTCCTGAGTGCTGGGATTATAGGCCTGTGCACCACGGTGCCTGGCTTGGTTTTCCCATCTTTGTGGGGAGGGCTTGGGTGGGGCAGGGTCCTTCCAACTGTGCCCATCTCAGCCTCCTGAGTCCACGCCCCTGGCGCTCATGCCAGGGTGACTCAGGGAGAGAAGAAGAAGGCCCAGCCCCGCCTGGCCCGGTGTCCTTCTGAGGTGGAGGTCATGGGGGTCACACCAGCCCAGGCCTTATCACCCCTTACCTCCATGGCACTTCGGATTTAGCCGTCCAATCAGGACCCCGCCCTGCCCAGGGCCCTGGGGGTGGGGCAGGGCCCAGGGGACACCAGCGTATCCTTCTGCGGAGGCCAGGCCACCCTGGGGGAGAAAGGCTCCTTGTCCTGCAGCCAGCCCCTTGCCCTGGGAAGAGCGGTGGGGGTGACGCAGGAAGACTCTTAGGTGTGCTTAGCAAGAGGGGTGCACGCCTGTAACCCCAGCACTTGGGGGGTCTGAGGCAGGGCCAAGGATCTGAGGCCAGCCCGGGGTACACAGGTGAAGTCCATGGTGAGACCCTGTCTCAAAACAACCAGAAATAAACCAAAAGAAAAAAGGGGAAAGCTGCAGGACTGGGTGCTTGGGCGAAGCAAGGCCCGCAGCCTCACCGAGGGGCCCTTCAGGCTCTGCCTTCAGCAAGAAGCCTCGGTCGGCGGAGGTGGCCGAGGGCAGCACCGCTGTGTTCGAGGCCGAGACGGAGCGCGCAGGGGTGAAGGTGCGCTGGCAGCGGGACGGCAGTGACATCAGCGCCAGTGACAAGCACGGCCTGGCCTCCGAGGGCCGGCGGCACACGCTGACGGTGCGAGACGCGGGCCCTGCAGACCAGGGCTCCTACGCGGTCATCGCAGGCTCCTCCAAGGTCAAATTTGACCTCAAGGTCGTAGAAGCAGGTGAGGTTGTGGGCAGCCACGCCTGCGGGTTTGGTTTTTTCTGACACAGGGTCTCAGTATGTAGCCCAGGCTGGCCTTGAGCTCACTGCAGTCCTCCTGCCTCAGCCTCCTGAGTGCTGGGATCACCGGCCTGCGCCACCACGCCTTTCTTTTCTGCGGTTTGAGCTTGGGTGGGGCAGCCCAGGCCCTGTTTGTCCCCATCCTGGGGGAATAGGGCGTCTCTTTCCCACTTGTGTGGCAGCCCGGGTGCTGCTGTCATGGACGGGGAGACAGACGCCAAGCGAGACCCACCCTCCCCTGGGGACCAGGTCCCGGTCCCCACCGGACACAGTGGGGACAGGTGACAGCAGGAGAGGGACTGTGGGACCCAGGGCCTGGCGCACAGCCTGTGCCTCGACTCCCCTGGTCCCTCAGCCAAGGTGGAGACCCCTGCACCGGGCCTGGCTGAGGCCCCCGGAGCCGCAGCCACAGCTCCCGAGTTGGAAGGCGGTGCCCCAGGACAGGAAGGCGATCGGGCCGGGCAGACTGGGCAGGCACAGGGACCCCCAGGCCCGGACCCAGCCGCCCCGGATGACCCCATCGGACTGTTTGTGACGCGCCCGCGGGACGGCGAGGTGACGGTGGGTGAGTGACGGCTGCTTCTCTGGGTGGAAAGGGAGGCCGCAGGGGCCCCCAGGCCCAGCAGTCACCCCTCCGGCCCGCAGGTGGCAGCGTCGCCTTCTCAGCCCGCGTGGCTGGGGACAGCATCCTGAAGCCGCCCGTTGTCAAGTGGTTCAAGGGCAAGTGGGTGGACCTGGGCAGCAAGGTGGGCCAGCACCTGCAGCTCCGCGACAGCTACGACCGCGCCAGTAAGGTAGGGCTGGGAGAAGTCGGGGACACCGGCGAGTGGGGGGACGCATGGAGAGGTCTCCAGCGGGGCAGGGCCAACACGTTCAGCTGTGCGCCCTTGCAATGCACAAAACAGCAGCCCCAAACCCACGTCGTTTGCCCTGGGGCTACCGCGATCTGTGCCTTTCCAGGCAGTGCCAGCAGGTGGCAGTCATGGGTCCCAAGAGGGGGGTCCTCTTCCTAACGCACAAGGAAGCTCCCTTAACTAACCCCAGAGGGGGAAGCCTGGCTGCACAGGGACTCACCCCAGCCCGCCCGCAGGTCTACCTGTTTGAGCTGCTCATCAATGACGCCCAGATGTCCTCGGCGGGCGGCTACCGCTGCGAGGTGTCCACCAAGGACAAATTCGACAGCTGCAACTTCAGCCTCACCGTGCACGGTGAGCGGGGCCTGTCCTGCCCCACGCCTGCGCCTTCCCGGGAACAGGGTCCCCAGCTGGGCACTGAGCAGGGCGTTTGAGTTCTGGGCCCCTGCCTTAGTGGCCTTCAAGCTCATGGGTCCCAGGGCCAGGGCCGGTTCCCTAGTGCCCCTCTGATGTCTCCTGTTTGCCACAGAGGCCGTTGGCCCAGGGGACCTGGACCTGCGATCCGCCTTCCGCCGCACGTGAGTGAGCCAGGGAGGCGGGGTGGGGCTGGCGGGGGACAGGGCTGAAGTCCGGGTGAGGACATGGAGTGACCCCACAGGAGCGTGGCCGGAGGACCTCGGCGAACCAGGTACCTGTGCCCCTGCGCGTTGCCCGGGAGCCCCCGCCCCACGCCCTTGCAGCCCGGTCGGGGGCCTCACCGGGCATTCTCTACAGCGACAGCCACGAGGACGCAGGGACCCTGGACTTCAGCTCGCTGCTGAAGAAGAGGTGAGATTCCCAGTCAGCGTAAGGCCCTGCGCCTCTCTGAGCCTGGCCCCTAAGAGAAGGCAGAGGAGACCTCTGCACTTGGAACAGGTTTAGGCGTGAACGCCTGTCACCCCAGCACTCGGGAGGCTGAGGCAGGGGGATCTCTTGGACCTGGAGAGGGGGAAGCTCCAGAGAGAGGCTCAGCACCCTCTGATCTGTGCTCTCTCCATCCCCTCCCCCTCCCCAACACTCGCCGTGATCCACTGCCGCTGCCCGCTGATGCTGCCACACCAGAGAGTAAGGACTGGCGTGGTTCCGTCCCTGCTGGGCTGGGTGAGGCCGGCAGAGGCTGCCCCCTGGCGGGGAGTCTCTGAGCCTTGGGGTGCTCCTGACACCCCTCACCCCGAGGGTGCTTAAGGAGGTGAAAGGCAGGCAGTGCCCACCCAGGTCCTGTCTGGGGCCTCCGAGCCCCATAGGCGCCCCTTAAATGTAGAGGAGCAGGTGTGGGGAGGAGTGAGGAGGGGAGGCCCAGGATGGGGGACCCGGGTTGGGGGCGGGGCCCAGAGCTGATTGTCCGTGTCCTTTCCGTCTGGAGCAGCAGCTTCCGGACCCCGCGGTGAGTGCCCGCCTCCCTCCCTTCCTCCCT